TCTAGGCCAGTGTTCTCAAACTAGGCTGCATTTTGGAATTTACCTGAGGAGCATTAAAAATTGCTAATGTCTGCCCTCAGTTCAGGGATCCCAATTTAGTCTCAGTGGGGCCCAAGCATTGGTGATTTTTAAATGTTCCTTGGTAATTCTGCTGCATCTGAACACACCCCTTTGTGATCCTATTACCATATCTTCTACCAAAGCAAGGAAAAGAAAGGGTTTCCTCTGCAAGTTAAATGTCTTAACAGGGTTTGGTGTTTTTATTTTTTTATGTATGAGTGACCATTGTTGGATTTTGTTTGTTTGGTTGGTTGATTGGGTTTGGTTTTTTGGTTTTTTGGTTTTTGTTTTTTGTTGTTTTTTTTATCAGTCCCTTAAAGCCTTGTACCATGATCTATACCCTTGACCCTAACTTTGCACTACCACATATTGACCAGCCCTTGTGCAGTAGTTTTAGATTGGTTAGTAAGGGGACTGGTGAGAAAGAGGCTCAGCACTCTTACTCCTGCTGGAGGAAGTAGGTGGGTACCATTGCTAAGAGGGCCACATCCATGCTGTTGCTAAGGAGCTGGTGTAAGAAGTGCATTCTGGGTGATGATGTTAGCTAATGACCCACATATTTCTTAGTGGACTCGCACTGTAAATAATGGAATCCAAAGGGTGTCGCTGTCATTTTCGTTGAGTCAGGTGAAACTGGATAATAAAATTGTTTTCTGGTTTGGTAATTGGGTAATTTAAGTCGTTGTTTACTACTATATCTACAAAAAAAAGGTCTTTTAGGCATTCGCGGGAATATATACCTTTGTCAATAAAAAACAATGACTGTTTCACTATATTGTATACCTGAAACTGATGTAATATTGCATATCAACTTTAAAAAAAAAAAAAAAAAGGACAATGACTGTTTTACCCTAAGCTGTAATGGCTTTTCTTAACATCATCTTTTCAAAGGCATAGACCTTCGGCTATTCAAGGCATAATTCCGGGATTTCAAGACTACTGCTCTTTATCCAGTTCAAGATGGATGTGTCTCCCATTGATCAAAGGGTTTGTAATGGGAATGTTTTTGTTGGTTTCTTACAGTACAACAAACACCTCTTCGTGCACATTGGGCATGCCAACCATTCTTACAGTGACCCATTGCTCGAATCAGTGGACATTCGTCAGATTTATGACAAATTTCCTGAAAAGAAAGGTGGCTTAAAGGAACTGTTTGGAAAGGGCCCTCAAAATGCCTTCTTCCTCGTAAAATTCTGGGTGAGTAAGACATTGCTGTGATTTCAGTGGTTTTTATCTGAATGGTCACATCCCACACGTGAGTGGGGAGCAGCACAGCTAACCGTGGATCCACGCCAACTACACCTTCATGTGTACCTGCAGGATCGCCAAGGTGTCACAGACTCTACCTGTGAGGCTGTCCTCATGCTGGCCTTCTGGTACATCCACATGATGCACCTAGGCAGCATTTGCTGCCCCCGCCAAGGAGCAAGAGAAGGGCAGCCTCTTTGGGCCTCAGGGCTCACTCAGACAGTGCAAGAGGCTTCACAGATGGCTGGAATCATGATGGAAAACATGGGGCACTAGACCCTCTTTCTGTTTCTTCTCTCTCCGTTAAGCAGAGTGACCTGTAAATTCCACCAGAGCATAGGACTCGAGGCAAAGATGGGGCTGGGATGAAGACAAATTTACATGCTTCAGGATTTTATAAGTGTCTGACAGAATACAAAATGGCTTTGCCCAGTATGTGCCTCATTTGTGCTTTAAAACAATAAGCTTAGATGCCACCAGCTGCTGGGGCTTGCTGATGTCCCACAGCCTCTGAGAGGAGCTTTGCTCTTCCTGCTCCACTAGTCAGACTTAGGCCAGGAGACTGCTGATGGGTCAGAGATGTTAGAGCAACTATAAGTATAATGTGTGTGTACTGGGGGGTCAGATGGGCAACAGGAGACCAGATGACCTGCTAACACCAAGTCTCTTTAATTCCTCAGTCTTTAGAATAAAGAGGAAATCACTTCAGATGTTTGCACTTCTTAGCATGGCATTAAAGGCCCTAAGTGAACTGATTCTAACGTGTTTTCCTTGCTATCCATCATGTGCTCAGCCTTTGTGTGTGTCCAGATATACTCACGTTTCCCCCTTCCCCTTCTCTCCCACCAGACCAACTCTTCCTTCCCTTGAGATGATGGCTCCTTTATTATAGTACCTTCCTCACTTAAGCAGACCATTGATTTTCTTTTTATTCCCATCGCATTTTGTAGTTAATCAGTTCCCATGTTTTGTCTTAATTATTTGGATGTGTGTCCCACTCCTCCCTGGACTCCAGCTGCCTCCAGGGGACCTTATTCATAAAAGTAGCTACCATTTATTGAACACCTGCTGTGAGCTGGGAGCTGCACTAATGCTTTACATGCATTTTATCCAGTCCTCACAATGTTAAGTGGAATTTACCTCATATCCAACTAAGAAAATAGATACCTAGAGGTTACAAAGGAAAGGCTGCTTGTAGGTTGCTTGTATAAGACCTGGGGCTTGAAATTGGATAAAGTTTGACTTTAGTGCTTCTGCTTTGTTTTCTGGCTGCTTCATGTCCTGGAGACCCTGGTCATAGAGTCGCCAACAGAGGACTCTCCATATCTCTAAGCAAGTGCCTTACACAGAAAAGCCCAACAAATGGAGAAACAAATGAATTAAGAAAAAAATGATGTTTTAAATTCCTTGGGGGAAGTTTACATATTAGATTTAGTTTGCTTAGTTTCTATTATGTGTGCATGGTAACTAGATTTCATTTTCATGCTTCCCTATTGAATTTGGATGGTGGAAATGCCTTCCACTTATATTAATGTTCTTGGGATGGGTAATAACATGTGGATAACCTGAAAAAGCAGTAAGACATTTCTCTTTTTTGAATTGGTGGCTGCCTGCTAGTAATTTGAATGGCGGTTAGAGGCCAGTTATATGATAATACAGCAGTTTTCAAAGTATGGCCTGCTTACTTCTAGGGAATTCCTCAGTTTCCTTTCAGTGTGTCATCAAGGTCAATATTATTTTCATTATGACATTGAGACATTATTTGTCATTTGCACTCTGCTGATGTGCACACTGGTAGTCCAGAAACAATAGAGTAAAACTTCTGAAGACTTAGCTCAACCAGGCTGATAGGCTCACACAGGTTAAAAAAAAAAGAAAAAAAGGACCATCCACCCCAAAAATGTCCTTTTATGACTTTTACTACATCTTGAATCTAGTGTACACATTGACAATGAATGCAGTGAGCCAGCGTGCCGTATCAAGGACAGCAACTAACAAATTTTGTTGCCAGAGATAAATTTTGAGTTCTTAAGTAAAAATAAGAATTTTGGAAAACTTGTATCCACCTCAGTGAACTTGACAGCTTCCTAATACATTAAAGACTTTTCCGATGAGATCCACAGTCATATTGATGTGTGATTTTTTTTTTGATATTGTGTAAGATAAGCCAGTGAATTTGAATATAACAAAGTATGAAAAGTTCATTGATATGGTTTCAGAATCCAGACTACAGCTAACCTTTAAGAAGGTTATTTGTCAAGTTACAGGGTAATACCAAAGAAAAATGACCACAGTTATCTGAAGAGTCTATTAAAAGACTCTTTGCTTTTTCAATTACATATTTATGTGAGTCTAGATTTTCTTCACATACTTCAACCAAAGCAGCAGGTCATGACAAATTGAATGTAGAAGCAGGTATAAAAATCTAAGTATTTCCCATTAATTCACACATTAAATAGATTTGCAAAATGTAAAACAACTAATTTATGTTTATGTTTGAAAATATAAACATAAAAAAGTATGAAAATATAAACATAAAGTATGAAAATATAACTAAAAAAAAGTATGTTAACATGTAATGAGCTTATTAGTTTTAAATTAGGTACTAAATACTTAAAATATTCTGTTTAAATTTCCAATACAGAAAATATAGATAGATATAACATATAGAAACAAAAGCTCTTTAAGGTCCTCAGTAAATTTTGAGTGGAAATGCATCCCAAGATCCAGAAGTTCGAAAACCACTATTGGGAAGCATATAAAAAGAGGCTGTTCTACCCAAATTAATTAAAACTAATCAGAAATTATAGAACATGATGAAAAGAAACTATTTTCAGTACTTTCAAATTAAACAGTATTGGTTTTTAATAATAAGAAGATTTTTATAATTAGCTTATTATTTGAATATACAGGCTTAGAAAGTTATTTTTGTTTTTGCTTCCTAAATTTCCCATTTTATTTGGAATGATTTTAATAAATACTTTCAGTGATGAGGCCCTTCAGTCGTGAATCCCCAAATAATGAGGTCTATATTGCAGATGTTTAGTGTGGTAGCTAGTATGAGATGTGCAAAATTAGAAACAGTTACTCCAAGATTAGATATTAGTTTATTGAATTAAAATTCGCAGAATTAAAATTGAGCGGTCCTATGAATATGATAGAAGATATCACTCCTTAGTATGGCTGTTAGCAGTATTTAACCTTTATAAAGAAATTCAGTCGTAACTATGTTAAAATAAATGAGGAAACAATTTGAATTAGTTTTACAATTTGCTGCAATTGAAATATCATTGGCTTCCTCTAATGACTCAGTAAAAATGAATACAATTAGAATATCTATCCTTAGTTATCAGTAGGTGTTTCCAGTGGGTGTTCTTAAGTAGGTTTAACACTGTTTGCACTATCTTTTGTGTTAGTAATTCACTTAGCAGATTTTCTTATTTTTGTATGAATTCAGTACATTTCAGCAGAGATCCTCTACCCAGTCTCTCCTTTCATCTCCCGTTTTCCTCTTTCTCAAACTGCCTGAGGTCTCTAGGTTGTCAAAGTCAGGCTGACTTAATTTGTTGATATGGTTGTTCCTGAAATTTTATTTTCAGAATGTCTGCCATGTTTAGCCTGGGCTCAGTGGGGGCAGACTGAGTCAGGCATTTGCTGTGGAAGGAATATTGAGTACTATCTGAAGTACCTGCACTTAACCCCAAGGCGTGGGTACCTCAGCTCTTTGCCAGTTGGCACTTTGAGGTGAATGGGATGGTAGTAAGCCAAGTAGCAGTCACTGCACTGGTTTCAGGGTGGAAGACCCTGACGACACCCCAAAACATAAACGAGTGGCAGAGCCGAAGATGCCAGCATGGATGCCCCTCTGCCCTATGAGCCTTCTAATTTTTCATGCCTTAATGGTGTAAGACACCTAAGGGCCCCTGCTGTGTGTCTGCTGAGATTTTTTTTACGAGCCTTATTGACAAATAATTTATATATCATAAAATTTGCACACCATATAATTCCCTTATAGAATTCAGTGAGTTTTAGAAAATTTTACAGACTTGTGTAACCATCACTACAATCAAATTTTTGAATATTTCTATCATTCTAAAAAGATGCCCTGCATCCACTTGTAATCAATCCCTTTTCCCACTCCCAGCCCCAGGCAAGTGCTAATCTACTTTCTGCCTATACAGATTTGCCTTTTTTTGGACATTTCATGTAAGTGGAGTTATTCAGTTGTGTAGTTGTTTGCATCTGGCCTCTTATCATAATGTGTTTGAGGTACATCCGTGTTGTAGCATGAGTCAGTGGTTAGCTCATTTCTGTTTGCTGTATACTGTCCCACTGAACGGCTATACCACATTTTGCTTTCCTATTTACTAGTTGATGGACTTGTGGATTGTTTCTACTTGAAGTTTTTATGAATAATGCTTCTCTGAAGTTTTTGTATGGATATATGGTTTCGTTTTTTCTTCGGTAGCTACCTGGGAGTAAAATTGCTGGGACATGTGGTAACTCTATGTTTAACTTTTTAAGAAACTACCAAATTTTTTTCTGAGGTGGTTAGACTACTTTATATTCCCACCAATGAGATGTTAGGGGTCTTCTCCTTCAACCATTATGTCTGCAAGTACTAGGGTAGGGAGAGATGACAGCACACATTGTAGATAAGAGAGCTGGTGAGTGAAAGCAGCAAGACAAGGTGCATGAGTGGTGCATTCAGGGGAGTTCATGTGCACTGAGGTGCTTTGCAGATAGGGCTTCACTTGTATGGCAAACGTAGGTAGGTAGAAAAATTAGGAAAGACAAGGAATCCGGGTTCAGATGTGTCTGCAGTAGAGAGCAGTCAGTGGTTTTAACAATTATAGAGCCAAAAAAGTAATAGGATTCTTTTCACTAAGGGTTACAGCGACTTTCTGCATTTTGTCTTTTCTATTTTTATTCTTTAACTTTTCCTTCTC